AAAAATTTTTTTTTTTACAACTTTAAGAAAACAAATAAGTAATTTTAGTTTAATCTTGTTTACAATTGACCAACTTAACAGTTTCTGTTTTCACATTACATACATATTTTTATTTTAATTCTTTAAATGGTTTAAATGTTTCTTATCACTTTACAGCAGGTGTCAGAAAATTGTGTTGATTGATGACAGGAAAAGAGAAAATTCATAATTTTGATGTAAACTAAATTAATATTGCTTTAATTTCAATTGTTTTAATTACCCAAATACTCTTTTAAGATAAAGTTCAGCCTTCCTGGTTTAAAATAACGACATTAATACCTGAAATTTGAATTTAAATACTTGTAATTTTTCAAAATGTCCTGTAACAAAATTTAATGTTTAATGAAATAATATACAATATTATCAAGAAGTTTTTTTACATAACTATAAAACAATAATTTTGAACATTTAAAATTAAATCTTAAGGCATTGAAATGGATGACAACTTACATTTTATTCACAAAAAATAGACTTTGCTGGTTGTTTTTTTTTTTTTGCTTCACATATAAACTGGTCAAAAACTTTCTGGGTAATATGACTGAATCCGGGTCTTAAGAAGTGGGTCAAGAATACTCTCCATAGGTTAAAACTTTTTAAATGTCAGTAAGAAAAAGAACTTTTGATGTGACACTAAAGTCACCAGACATTATCTATATTCTCTTCAGAACTGAACTGTACAATTTTTTTTCCAAATCTGTCCAACTATAAGTCCTTTGAATAAGAAAGATTTTGATTTCAACAGAACACAATAAATATTTCATCACTTAAGTAGAGATTGTCTACTGGCTTAATATATCTGGAAAGCAAGCAAAATAATTTCTGCGTTTCCGTGGCTTTCTCTATGTGACCCCCACTTTCTAATTCTCTCTTTTTCATGTATCCATTTTGAAGAGAATAATAAAACAGAGAAGGCTAAAGCCATGGCCTTTTCTAACACAAGCAAAAGAATTTCTGCTTTTTGGTGACTGTCCCTCTTTCATCCACTCACTATTATGTTTTGTCTCTCATGCTCCCCATTAAGAAGGCTAGTAAATTCATTGTTTTTCATGCATCTTTTCCTGCTAAACAACAGATGTTTTCTCTACTTACATTCTCTAAATAATATCACTTGTAACAATTATCCTAAAAAATGAAGAAATGGGAAATACAAAAAATACAAGTACAAAGAGGATAGTGAAAATTATCAATAATTAATTTTACATTATACAAAATTATTTATCATTGCATTGCATACATGAACCCTTCACCCCTGGATATATATATATATATATATATATATATATATATATATATATATATATATATATATATATATATATACATACATCACAAGTATTGTAGCAGCAAATATTCTTTCAAGCAAATGTTATTAAAGACAACAGACATTTTGTGTTGATAAATTTTATTGATCAACTTTTCCAAAGTACAAACAATCCTTCTCAAATAAGGAGGAAATTTCATCAGAAATCTTCCAAAGTTCATTTTGGAAAAATATGGTGCAAGCTTTCAACTTTCTTAAGTCATTATTGGAATAGGTAGAGACAAATGGTGAGTTTCAAAGAACTGGTAAGTGTAGTGGCATGAACAATGAGTGTTGTGATATAGGTGAGGCATGATGTCTGTCTGTTTATTTTATTTACTTATTCATTTTTATATACATTTGAGGATACAAGCTCTTTAATTATGACTGTTTTTATTAATAGATAGCTGTTTTTGTTGCATGAGTATTGCTTCAAGGATAATAAGTCTGTTTGTACTATTTGATTTTAGTAGTATTTTGGTAGTTTGTGAGTAGCTGTCTAATGCTACTATGATCCTTATGTTGCTTATTAATGTATTGTTTGATGGCATGCTGGTCTGATAGGTGGCAAGTGTATATATAAAAAAATCATTAAAAATGACAGACATTTTGTGTTGATTAATTTTAATGATCAACTTCTTAGCTAAGGAGGAAATTCTGTCAGAAATATTGTGCTGCATCATCAGGATTAGGTAGTAACAATTATTAAGCTTCACACAGCTAGTGAGTATTGTGACAGACAAAGACTGATATGTGTGCATGTTTTATTTTGTTTGTTTTTTTATATATACATTTGAGGATACAGGCTCTTAAGTTATAACTGTTTTTATTTATAGATGTTTGTTTTTGTTGTATGTGTATTGCTTCAATAATGATAATAAGTCTGTTTGTACTATTTGATTTTACTAGTATTTTGGTATTGTTTGTAAGTAGCTGTCTAATGTTACTATGTTCCTTATGCTTCTTATTAATGTGTTGCCTGATGGCATGCTGGTTTGATAGGTGACAGGTGAGTTTCCGTGATACTGTGTTTGTGCTATATCCGATGTAAGACATTTTGTGTTTTTTATTTACAGAGAAACATTCATTGAGTGGGCAAGTTTACTCATACCCAACATTGGTCTTGTATAAGGGGTTGGGAATTTGCTATATTTTATTTTTAATAACTAGGTTGCTAGTTTTTTATTTTTTGTAGCAAAAATTGAATCTGATGTATTTGTTTTTATCGACTGGTTTTATATATCTATGAATGATGTTTTCATTGCTTTTTCATCTTTTTCTTATAATTGTAGTGCATTTGATTTTGATTATTATTATTATTATTATTATCAATATTATTATTATATTATTATTATCAACATTATGTTTATTTCTATTGTTCTAGTTAAAGTTGTTGTTGTTTAAATTATAAATGTTTTATATTATTTAATTCTTTAAAGAAACTTATTTTGGATGAAGAAATGAGTTTAGTTTTTTGAATTTGGTTATTAATGACAGCAATCTTATATTTTCCAGGACATTCACTTATAGTTTAGAAGGCAAGAGTTCAAACTAGTGAACCTTTTTATAATGAATTGTGGTAAAATTATCGCTGTTATGATCAATGAGAATATCTACATATAGGAATTTTTTAACAATGATTAGTTCATAAGCAACTTTAAAATAAAATTTTGAAAACTTTTTCAAGTTCTATGATGACATTGATGGATTTGTTATGGATGAAAATGTCATCAGTATAACTGGCATAAATGGTGGGTTTGTTAATTTTATTAAATATTTTGTTTTCTAACTATAAACGTTTTAAAAAAAAAGACCAAGAGTGCTCTATAGCAACACCATCAGTCTGGGTATAAATATTACAGAGGTGGTCATAGAAAGGGACTTAAGAAAGTCAAAAACTTGGACGGTATTTCTTTCAAAATGAAGTTTGGACAATTTCTGACAGAATTTCATCCTTATGCTTCTTCAGGTGATATATACATGGCCCAATGGATAAAGGCATTGGTTGAAGTAATCCAGTGACTTGACCCAAAGAGTTATGAGTTCAATACCTGGCCACAGCAGAGATGAACAAGAATTTGTAGAGTTGAGTTACTAATGGGAAATAAATGAAACTGAGATATTTAAAAAAGACATAATACATTGAATTAGAACAATCTACCCGAGTGGGCTAAATAAAAGTTTTGGTTCAAAATTCCAATGCATATCACCTGAAGAAGGCTGGAGTGCACAACAGCTGAAACATGAATATGACAATAAAGATGAGGACAACAGTCTGAACAATGTAAATAGGGTAAAGCATTACTTTTCTTCTAGGAAACCATTTTTAATCTAGGCGTGCTGTCACTTTTTTGGTCATGGAGCCCTTTACAGCAAAGCAAATCTCGGTAACTATTTTAATATACATTTTTCCTTGCAACTTTTCAGTATCAGTATCTGCTAATTTATCTTTTCATACCCAAATCACCAAGTAATTCAAGCAGTTAATGATTTTTTTTTCAGTTAAACAATATTTCATATTATGATAATTATTATTTTAGTGGATACACTACATTTTTAAGTAGACATCACAGTTTACTTACAAACGGTGATACCTACTCCAAAACACATGCACTAAAACACATATATCCATGAAAATAATGTTTATATTAATAAGAAGGAAGTTAATTATCTGGGAAGTGTTAGAAAAGGTGCTGAAATGCTAAGTAATATCAATCCTCCTATATCTTAATGAATGGTCAGCAATTTCATCACAGGTGAGAAGACTTGATGCAACAGAGATGTGATTCTACAGAAGGATGCTGAGAATATCATGGAAAGAGCATGTAAATAACAAGTTACTTTTAAGGAAAATGGAAACAAGAACGACAATATCTGTCTATATTTATGAGATGAGGTATTGTTATTAGTTACATTATTTACGTTGTTTAGAGCAGTGAATAAAAATGCTGTTTAGATCCAGTGACTTGGCCCAAAGAGTTGTGAGTTCAGTACCAGGCTACGGCATTGGTGAACAAAAATTTGGTGATTTGATTTAAAGGGAGATAACTGAGACATCCAGAAGAGGCATGGCATGTGGAACTAGAATAATCTACCCCAATGGACAAAATATAGGGTTCAGTTCGAAATTCCAATCACCTGAAGAATACAACAGCCAAAATGTGACCATAGCAATAAAGATGGGTACAGCTGTTTTAACAATGTAAATAATGTAAATAAAAATGACAATTATATATAAAATCAAAAGGAGTAAATTGAAATTTCCGCAACACATAATGATAAAGGAGGGTTTGGAGAATATGACACTCATAGGTTATATTGAAAGCATGAAAGGTCATAGTGAACAGAATGTAAGCTACCTAATGAGCTTGTATAAATTGCTGGTGGAACATGAACAAGGATTTCGTTGGTTGGTTTATGGGTTAATTAATGTTGAAATTTAAATATTTTTTATGCAATTTTATTTTTTTAATTTTTTATTTCTTGGAGATAATAATGGTTTAATAACACAAGTATTAATAAACTATTAACTGAGGAGAAAAGAGGTGGATTTATAACTTTTCCAAGGTATGTAAATGTAACAAACCAAGCAGCAACTGGAACTCAGCTCTTCAATTAACAATTTCAAATCATTATCCATTACACCATCTGCACATCCAAGCCTACAGCACCTGGTTTTCCCAAGTGGTCACCCATCTAGGGACTGAACAAGCTTGAGGTTGCTTAAATTCAGTGATCATACATGAACCAGTGTTTCAATGTGATATAGCTGTAAGCCTCAGGAACAAAGAGTGATATTAAGAGGAAAAATATTGTTTAGAGCTTCAAAGGATAGAAAGTTATGGAGAGCCACAATTGCTCACATTCTAAAAGCACATGGCACGTAGAAGAACAAGAAGATGACCCATTCATGAACTACTGCAGCATAATGAATGCTAAGAAAATAATAGATAAATGTGTATAATATCTAAAATGATATAGATTTATTAAAAATAAAAGAAAAACAAAGGAACTGAAAACAAATGTAATTTGTTTTCTCCATGGTAAACTTATCAGTTTGGAAAAATCTGACCTGTATAGCCATCAAAATAATGAACTGAATCAATTAAATTATATTAAGAATGGTGCGATAATAGGTGGGATTATAGAGAAAATTCTCATCATAAAAGCCTTTATCTGGCATCTACAAAGATATATACAAGATTAATTCTTTCATTTCTCTCACTGCTGTATGTATGTGTGGGGTGGGGGTAGGAAAGAAACAAATATATATATATATATATATATATATATATATATATATATAGTTTGTCCGGAATGTATCCATCTATATTTGCACTATTTATGCTTGTACTGTTGTCCTCATCATTGTTGTTGTTATCACAACATTTCGGTCTTCTTCAGGTGTATATCAGTCTGGCTAACCTACAGGGAATTCTGAACTGAACCCTCTATTTAATCTGTACATGTCTAGAGATATCATCTAGTTAGATATGTTCATGTCTGTCTATTATCCTGTGTTGTGTTTAATTCAGTGTGAGATTTGCTGGTGGCCAAAAGCTTTCCTAGGGGGGAAGATGAAATATCTTTTCTCTCAGGTATTTTGTGATTAAAAGAAAACAAAGAAAATGAAATCTTCTAAACCTTTTCCTTTATCTACAGCTTTGGCAATGTCATCTAGTGGTCATTAGCAGAAATTATTTAACAGACAAGTGGGGTAATCTCATTCTAAAGTGAAACCATAAAATGTCTCATTAAAGTGTAAAAGTGGTAGTTGTCAATTTTATAAGTGGGGAAAAAATTGCATGCTGACATTGCTAAACTCTCCAGTAAAAACAAATCTATCCATTACATAACTTTTATTATAGGATGTTGCTAGAATTGTTCTATTATTTTATTATGAGGCATTGTTGCTACTATATTTGTTGTAGCATACCTACAGATGATAATGGGTATGATCCCATTCCCATAAATACAGTAGGGAATACTGTATGTGTTCGTCTGCAGTTGGTGATTTATTGTGGAATTCACTTGAGTAACTTCTAGCAGTTGACTACTTCTATGTGCTACTGGTAAATCTTATATATGTTGTTCTTTTCCTAAGTATTATCATTCATTACCAACCTTTGTGTGATTATTCTATTCAGTAACCTTTCCAAGGTTACAACAATTTTATTGTAGCTATCTTATAAATTTAAATTTATTGTAGGTTTCTATGGGTAGTAAAACAGTATACATCAAGTTTCTTTTGTAGGTGACACAGTTCTACAAATATTTATGAAATAAATTGACTACTCCTGTAGCCATGGCTGTAAACAATGATTTTTGTATTATTTTTTTTCTGTAAAAAAATTAACTAGAGGGCATCTGTTGGATTTTATAAACAAATTAAATGGATACATGATAGTACAATGTTTATTTGTATCTAGATAAGTGAAACTTGTTTTCTAAATCATTTTACTGTATTTTTTTAAGTCTGGTGTAGATGATACCATACAAATTATTTCTGTACATTAAAGATTTTCCCTTTTTAAAACTGTCTTTTTGTCTTGGGTGCTGTGTTTAATAATTTACTGGCTTTAATGGTCAGGCAACAGTGCAATGATATTTTGATTGATTCTGGCAAATGATTTTCCATCATAGCAGTTGGAGAAAAGAGATTCAATTGCAAAGATCACTTGCTTTATTTGGTCATAGAATAAAGAAAGAAAGAATGATTTAACAAGTTTCCAGTTTCTTTATTTCAAATCAGCTGACAACTTCTTGCAGTGTACTGTACATGAGTGCCAGTCTACTGTACATGAGTGCCCAGCTAAATACTCCCTTTTAATGATTTTCTTGCTACTTTATATATGGTAATGATAATATTGGCTGTTTCTTTATAAGAAAACATTCAGCATTAATTGACCAAACAGCCACTGATATATGGAGCCACAGCTCTCAACATGCTAAACATTGCTGCTGTGGTTTATAGCATAAGTAGGTTTTTATGGGATACATTTGCTAGTCACATGTCCAATTAATTATTCTTCTCCTAGAATGGTTACCAAGCAAGGTTTAAAATCACAATGTGCCCTACTATTTAACCCATAGCTGGTGGGAGAAGAGATGGATTCATGGATTTACTAAGGTTGTGAGAAAGTGAACCCCACACCTTCTTCTTTTATGAGTAGTGTCCCTTCAGGACGTAGACAATCATGACCCTCCACATCTTCCTGTCCCTTGTAGCTCTTGATAAGTTTTTCCTTTTTGTCATTTCTCCCAAACCCTGTTCTACCATCCATTTACTCAAGCTCATCAAGTATGTTACGCTCTGTTTTCCTCTGTCCCTCTTTCCCTCAATCTGCCTTGTGTGTATCAAATTTTCCAAGCCCTCCTTCAGAGTTTATTATATTTTCTAATTTTTTCAAGCCTCCAGTTTATTTTCTAATACCCCCCAATTTATTATGACTCCCATACACTTTTATTTAGCACTCAAAAATACAATTATTCTTCATTTTCAAGAGAGGCAGATTTCAAATAATTCAGGTTAGGATATTTAGTGAGTGAGGTAAAATTATTTAATCTGAAGAACATTATAATGTAACTTTTATTGTATGAGGCACAATGAGATTTTTTAATGTATTTATAGGCAGTGATAATTTTTTTTTCATTTTTCCTTTTTTTTCTTCCTCGACTTCAATTTTCTGTTTCTGGGATTATGAATTTCATTTTAAAATCTCTGATTTCAATTTAGTTTAGGTTATACCTCTTCATTTTCATGAGATTTATGTCTTAGCTGAAAACCACCTTTTATTCTCTTCTCTCATCAAATCTCAGTTCTTCCTCTACCCTAAGTCAAAAGACAGGTAATAGATCAGATTTATAAGAGAAGAGACTGAAAAACGTGTATAACTAAGGATTTATATACTTCACTTAAAAGTCCTATATTAAGTTTTTTTTTACCAAATTCCAAGTTACCTTGAACTAATTTTTTTTTCTTTTCTTGCCTATTACTTTCTTTTACTTATGGTAAGAATGTTCATTTTTAGCTTCTTTCTTTGCATACACCTACCACAATATTTTCTCTGCATTTTTATCATTGTCTACCTTATCACAGCTTGTGAAAAAGTAGAAAAATCTTTCATATAAACAACCTTGTCTTTTCTCATCCTTTCTTGAAGTGTTATATTTCCATGATTTAGGCATGAAATCAAACCTTTCCCTGTCTTCCATTTACTTAATGTATTGTAAATCTGCTCTTTTTTTTTTAATCTTCTATTACAGACTTTTTCTGTTTTCCATTTTTCTGAAGAAAAAGGTTGCTTTTGTTTCTGATCTGAAATCAGTCTCTATATTTCAGCCTGCAGCTTTTGAAATTGTTTCATTTTTTTCCCTTAACATCTTTCATCATCTTTTTGTCATACACTGTTTCCTTGTTTTTGTTTTTCAATTATTTTCATGTGTTTTCTTTTTTTTAATATTTTTCTCATTACTTTTCTCTCTTGGTACTTTTATTCTTTCTCCTTTTATTTGTTTTCTTTCATCTTTTTCTTATCACTTCTGCTTCTTTTTACTTTCTATTTCATATTTTTCTTCATTTTTCTTTCCTCATTATTTTCCTATTCTTTTAGATTCTAACAGTCTAATAGTCCTGAAATGGCTGACTGACCCATTATCTTTAAAAGTACTCCTTTTTGTGTGAGAATAAACAGTTCTATTGAGTGGGTATATTGCTCCTTTTGTGTCTAATTAAACTCCACATTCAACTGATTTATAATTCAGTGTAACCATAAAATGATAAAAATCCAGTGAATTCAGACATTGTTCTGGAAGTAGAAAAAGGAGAAAATTCATAAAAGAAAGAAAAATACATCTTTGAGACAAAATTAATAAAACCTTATTAAAAATTGACAAAATTGATGAAATAAAGATTTAAAATAAAAAATACCAAATATACATTTAAAAACTGACAAAATTCATGAAAAATTTAAAAAATGAAAACTCAAAAAAAAAAAATTCATGAAAAAATAAAAATTTAAAAAATGTCTTCGCCATAAAAGTTACAATTGATGGAATTAATGAATGTTGCTCATCTGAACACTTTCCATGGAAATAGTGATTGAGTAGCAAGAGGCTTGCGTCATTTTGTCTGTGAGAAAGGAGTTGTAGGGTGGAAAATAATTTGTCACCCACAAGTCCATGGAGATGCTTTTGAACTCTAGGGAACTCTGGGAAGTGAAAACTGGGTAGCTCCCACTTATATATGTCAACAGTACTCCAAATGGAGTATTGCTGATCTGGCTCTTGTAAAGATATAGGAGAATGCGAGTAGGTACTTATTGGGGTAGTACAGGAAACCAACCATTTTTCCAGCTTCATTAAGCATATAAGTTAAAAAACTAGATATATCACAGAATGGATGAGTGACTGACCAGACATTTATATGGATTGAGTTTTCAGGAGACTTGAGGCAATAGAGATGACCAATGTGAGTAGGAGTAGGAATTTCAGTAAACAAAAAGAATGTATTTATACAATCAGAAAGAGACAGAAAATGAATGTAGTAACATTCAAAAGTACTTGGGAGAAAAACAAAAAAAAAAAAAAACTTTGGTAAATTTGCCAATTATATAAAACAATTTGAAAATTTGAAAAAGTTAATAAAAAATTAGATAGACACAAGTTATCAATATTATTCAACCAAACATGTTTGAAAATATATATATATATATATATATATATATATATATATAAAGAATTAGTGGATTTATTTTTAATCTGACATTTTTAT